GAAAAACTCCACCCGCGCATCTTACCCCTCGGGGCGGGGCGCGCAAAAAGGAGGTGTGACACCACCCACCCACCACCTTCCTCAATCACAACTACTATCACCACCAAACATTATTAACTATCACCACCTACCACCACCATCTTCAATCATAATCGTCACCACTACCAATCACTACTAGCTACTAGCATGAACCACCATCGTCAACCAAAAATACCACCAACCACCACCTCTAGTCGGCAATCACCCGTTAGCCATCACCATCAACAACTATCATATTTTAAAAAACTATATATTTTATTGATAGAATATTAGATTAGTTAGTATTTCATTTGAATTTTATATTTATTAATTTTCAAATGAAGATAAATTTTATACATTCAGATGTTAAAAATCAAACAGTCTTAATTATTTCTATTCAGATCTTAATACACATCTTAACATATTCAGATGTGTTTTCAGATTCAGACGTCTTAATCAGACGTCTTAATCTTAAAAAAACAAATGAGGCCTTAGACCCACACATGAGGGACATCTTGCGTGCTTATATAAGAAACAAACAAAAGTATCCCATTTCTAAATGTTTAAATTAAATTTTAGATGAGGCGATTTATACAATTCAGAAAATTTTATACCAAATGGTTCTGGTTAGTCTTATTTTAAGTAATTTTGAGATTCCACCACAATATTCAACTTTAATTATCTTTTGAGATTTCATATTGTGGACTCCAACTAATTTAAGATTGAAGAGATTGATTGTATTTTCCCTATAATCACGTGAATATTCCCAAAAGATATTTCAGTTTTATGCAAAAGAATCAAAAACTCAAACTATAAGGGGTTCTATTGCTATGCTAAGTGACTTTTCTGCTCTTGAAGTTACATGTTTTCTACTACACAATAAGAGTAAGTGAGCTAGCAGGAGGCACATGCAAGCTTGTCAACTGGACTTTTATGAAATTTTGTATTTCTTAACTTTAATGCTTTCACTTCCGGTTAACATGAATATCTAGGCTGTTTGTCAAATAAATATGTGGGGCCCAGAGATCTATACTAACTCCATTATCTTTTCGGTCCACCAAATGCCTCTAAAGTTAAAAGTAAGAAATAACCTTCAATAATTCAACTACATGCCACGTGGTATCAGTATCAATATTAATTAGCACAGACAACTTCCGATGATTAAAAGTGTACGCATTTATGCGAAATCAAACGCCCATTTGCATTTTTATTATATAATAAATATTTCTATGCAAGTATTGGTCGAACATGCTTCCATGAATGTGGTCTTGTCCTCATTTGATTTCAATTAATACAAATATAGCTTGAGTGATTATTTTAAACCACTCTTTTCTTTTGTTTCAACGAAAATTGAAAAACTCTCTACAACAAATATATAAAAATCTCTTTGACATAAATATAAATCGAGGAGACATGGAATGGAGTGTTGGAGACGGGTAAGTGAAACTTACCAGGTAGTGAAGTAATTATCTCTCTCTAGGAGGGAGGTCTATTTTAGTTAATAGTGTATTAGACTCTCTCCTTACTTATATGATGTCTATTTTCCATTACTAGCAAAAGTTGAGGAAAAAATTAATATTTTAAGGAGGAAATTCATATAGCACGGGAATAAGGAGAAGAAGGTTTACGATCTGGTAAAGTGGAGTACTCTGATTAACAGCGAAGGAAGGAGGGCTGCGGGTCAAAAATTTGAGATAATAAGAGCCTACTGATAAAATGATTGTGGAGGTTTCGTTTGGAGGAGCCGGCTTGTGAAGGAAAGTAATTAGTGAAAAACATGGGGCACATGGGACATGGTGCACAGCCAGAGTTTATGGCTCTTATGGTGTAAGTGTATGGAAGTCCATAAGATGTTTATGGCCAGCTTTAACTGCAATGTCAGTATCAAGGTGGGTAATCGTGCCAAAACTTCTTTTTGGGATGATGATTGGATTGGGAATAGACCTCTTAAAGAAACATTTCCAGACCTTTTCAATCTAGTACAGCATCCACAAGCTACTGTGGCTGAGATATGGAGCTTACAGGGCTGGAATGTTAACTTCATCAATGACTGGGAAGGTTACTAGAGTGCTAAATTCCTCAAATTGCTAGAAAGTTCCAAAGGTACTATTGAATACCTATGGAACAAGATGACAGACCAGGATCGGAAAGAAATAACAGAGGAGTCTATTATGTGAAATCAACATATGTTATCTTAAATAGTTCTGGGCAACAGCACATTGGGCCCTGGTAATTGAAGCACATTTGGAAGGTGAAAATTCCATTTAAAGTGGCATGTTTCTGCTGGCTTGTGGACAAAGAGGCTGTTCTAACACATGATTGTCTGGTGAAGAGTGCTCTAAATGTTATTTGTGTGAAAAAGAGGTTGATACAAACAACTGCCTGTTTCTGCATTGCAAAGTAACCAACAATTTGTGGATTGAATTTGACAATTCCCTAGACAACTACAGAAGTGACAGCATGTTGGAATGATCCAGGTATTATACTGGCAGAGAGATGGTGGACCAAGATTCCAGCATGTATTTGGTAGATAAAATGGAAGGAAAGAAACTCAAGATGTTTTGAAGATAGAGAAAATTCTGAGCAATATATTTTTGTTTCACTTTTGGTGTAAAGGAGCCCTTGTAGATGATTTAGAATCTACAGTGGACAACAGTGGGTCGTTGTAACTATTAAAAGACTAGGTTTTTGTTCTTTTTGTGCGGTCCTGTAACTATGTTTTACTCTTAGCACAATTTTTTTGGTAAAACTACTTTATCTTTATTATAAAATTTATTACCTTCTCAAAAAAAATCTCAACATAGGAAGAGGAGGAAGAAGGGAAGAACGTGAGTCTATACCAGTATAGACTAAAACATTTTTTTAGAAATAAACAAAATTAAAATACCAGTTCAAAAAAGGATACCGGATGAAATATTCTGAACTAACAATTCACCTAAAAACTTTATAATTACAGTTGGGGCCCGTACTAGGATTTTTTTCTGAACAAAGACACAATTTTGGTAATTACAATTTTGGTATAGGAACAAGTATGGATTTCAAGAAAGAATAAAAAAATTGAAACCTGTGGTCCAAAACAAGAAATGGACTTTTGTTTGGATATAAATAATCTAATCTAATTAAGGATAAAAAGAGAATTTTAAAGTTAAAGTTATTTTTAAATATAGAATGGTTTCCTTCTTGTGTCACATAAATTGAAACAAAGTCAGTACAAATCATAGAAAGACCTAGATAAGACAAAAGAACTTGTTGAAATTCTAAGCTTTCGGCATAATTTAATAAAAATAGTTAGAAATCCTCTTGGTGAAGCAAAACCAAAGAAATAAAATTCTACATCACTGATGATAATTGAGGAGAAGAAACATACCGCTAATGCAGAGAATTTCGTCCACGCCTTTAGATTTCAACTCGTCAGCCTTCTCAATAAACCCAGGCACATGCTTCGTGCTGCATATATAAACATTTCACATTACAAATATCAGACTATTTTTCTCGAAAGTTCCATTCTTCCATTACAAATTCCAAACAAAATGAAGAAATGAAAATAGGACCTGCAAGTGGGAGTGAAAGCTCCGGGAACGGCGAAGAGAATGACCTTCTTGCCCTGAGCAAGTGAGTGTACGGAAACGCTCTGCATCTGATCTTGCTCATCGAAGTAAGATACAGTTCCATCGGGAATGATGTCACCAACGGCGATCGCTGCCATTTTTGTATTATAGCTTTCTCAATTTTCTCAGGCGACAATTTGACTGTTGACCTAGTGAGCCCAAGCTAAGAATTATTTATTAGGTGTAATTTAATAAAAGTTGTGAAGTCCGCCAAATTATTTATTAGGTGTAATTTAATAAAAGTTGTGAAGTCCGCCAAATTATTTATTAGGTGGATTTAATAAAAGTTTTCAAGTCCGCAAAAGGTTATGGGGGACGGGATCCGAACGTAATTGTGGTTTTTTTGGACTCAAAATACATAAATAGGTGGGGAAAAAAAGATGATTATGTATAGCGCCACAATACTTGGCGCTATACAGTAACATTAACTGTGTTGTTACTGTAGAGCGCCAAGTATTGTGGCGTTATACTGAAAAAGCTGACACGCCCAGGTATAGCGCCACAATACCTGGCGCTATACATAAGTTTTATAATTCGAACCGTCTTCTTCATCTCCTCTGGTTCTCCTCTTTCTCAATTTTTTACTCCCTTGGTCCCCCATACCCGCTGCCCCCAATTTTTTTTTAAAAAAAATTTATGGGTTCCCTCGTTACATAATAATTGAAGAACATAGGTCCCACATTCGAGTAGAGCTTCGTATTATTGTTGATTCACACTTTCGGAGTCAAAATTTCAATCTATTTGCTTTCCGAAAATTCTAAATCGAGGTATTTCGGTTTATTTTAAGTTGAAACTTTGATAATAATGCATATTATTTGATTTGTATGTGTTCTATTTCGGTTTATTTTAAGTTGAAACTTTGATAATAATGCATATTATTTGATTTGTATGTGTTCTATTTCGGTTTATTTTAAGTTGAAACTTTGATAATAATGCATATTATTTGATTTGTATGTGTTCTATTTCGGTTTATTTTAAGTTGAAACTTTGATAATAATGCATATTATTTGATTTGTATGTGTTCTATTTCGGTTTATTTTAAGTTGAAACTTTGATAATAATGCATATTATTTGATTTGTATGTGTTCTATTTCGGTTTATTTTTTTTCGAAACTAGCATGTTAAATTTATCGGGATTTAATATTAGTGTTTTATAAAAAAAATATAAATTTGTCAAATAAATTTGTGTGTTAATATCATGATTTATATATATATGTGTGTTTTCATGCCTTTTTGTGTTTTATTTGCAATTAAATTTATTTGTTGTTGTTTATGTTTAGTTTAGATTATTTTTTAGCGTAGTAAAATCTAGACCTTTTTAGCGTA